CTCTCTCTTTCACTAGCTGGGCTGTGGGCCTCCCTGTCCCCCGTGCTGCAGGAGTGTCCAAGATAACAGTCATCTGTCCATGGACAGTTGTGTGTTCGTGGGTTGGAGTCATGGGTTAGGGTCATGGTCAGCTGTTCCAGTGCCAATTTGCAGGAAACACACTGGGCAGGAAACACGGATGAACTGGACTTGGCCCCTGCGCTCAGTCTGCTCTGTGCCACTCCCTGGACCTGGAGGAAACCCGTGGGCATGTTTAACTTCACCCAGGGTTGCGTGACTTGTGTTTTGTCAGTGTTTAGTGAGCCTCCGGAAGTCATCATTCTGTGCACACCACTGCACTTTTTCTCTCCTGTCCTTGTCCCCAATGGGTCTCTTCTCCTGCAGGACTTGTGCGGCTGGACGCTGTCGTTATTCTGGGCACCGTAACAGAAGAGAGGACAGGTGTCCCTTCCGCTGGGGGCGACTGATTCTATCGGGCTTGTGTCTGACACGTCGCTGTTGTGCAGCACCCCCTTTCCCCCTGGGGTGGACCAAAGACGCCGACCGCAGTCGCCTGCTCTGGGATTTTGTGTGTCATGTGTACATGTTTGAGGTCTTCCGCTTAGACGTGTTTTCTGTGTCCCATCATGGACGCACTTCCTAGAGTAGAAATCACTGCTGATGTCCTATACGTCAACTTGTGTAAACCTCTGAACTTTTTACGTGTTTAAATTTTTTTTTTGCATGTGGACTAAGCTTAGAATGATAGATTGCTAAATGTGCTTCCTGTGTTAGAAACGTGCTTGGTGCGCTGTTCTGTGCTTCTCCTGTGGCCTCTGTGTGTCGGGATGGTGCCTTATGAAATAAACCGCGCCAGCTTGGCGATTTGCCTACACTGGTTTTCGTACGGCCCTTACCGTCTCGCTGAAGACACCTGCTTGAAGTCCCATCTGGACGTGACGTGCTTCACAGCACAGGCTTTGTCCAGTGAGCCGTTCGTGGAGATCCTGTCCACCGTGACATTTAGAAGTGAATTTTAAGTTTCCCAGGGGAAGCGAAAAGGTTTCATTATTATTTTCTGTTCAAGGTGCAGGTGCAGTAGGTAGTGTTTGTTGTGATCTCCAGTTCGGATGAGCGCGGTCCTGGAGTACATGAGCTCTGAAATATCAGCGGTACCGAAGTAATAAGGAAGTTCGCTGAACCTGTAATAAACAAGACGGACTTGTACCGAATATATATACAGCGGTGACAATTAGAAATGTTTCATGCTCTTAAGTTCCAGAGCTGTGTCCATCCAAGTCAGCACAGAGGACTTGAATCCGCCTCTCCACGGCTTATTAAGAGTTACCTGCCTGACTTCTGACTGATCGTCCCCGAAAGGGCGTCTGATGGACGGACATGGGGGAGACGACCCTGGGTCAGACGCTCCAAAACAAGCCCCCACCCCCCCCCTTCTCCAGAGGTCCAGGGGGGTGATGTTCCCTGCAGCGAAACCTGAATGAGGGCAGCTCTGAGAGCCAGCGTTTTGGTGCAGGGCCAATACAAGAATCACACCGTTAGACAATATAATTTTCTTATTATGTGTTTGCGAGCTCTGAGAGTCAGCAGAATCTGAAGCCAGAGGAAGTGTGCTGGACCTTCAGTAAACAAGACGGACTTGTACCGGATGTATTTACAAACGGGACATTTAACAATGTTTCATATGGTTAGTCAGCAGAGAGAACTGTGGCACAGAATGTAGTTTTTCTTCCTTTCTTTTTACCCTACCGAAGACACGTAAACCGAAGCCCATCAACAGTTCATTAGCTACACAAGGGTCGTGAATCGAACAAGTATATTTGTCTGGACTAGTTCGAGTAGGTATCTGCGTCGGCATGCGTAGGCTTCAAAGGAACAAGTAAAGGTTTATTCCACAGGAACAAGTCATAGGTTTATTCCGTGCTGAAAAGAGAAGAAACGCAACGTTTCAGCTGCCTTCTTCGGGTGTGAGAAAGACAGGCAGACAGTAAAGCACAGGAGAACGAAAGCTGGGAGAGGGGAGGAGGCAGGAGCAGGGGAGAGGCAGAGAGGCCACTCCGGTGGTGTGAAATGGGGAGAGGTGTGAAGAAACACAAATTTGGCTGTGGAGCCTTCTTCTGGACACCCAAAGAAGGCTCCACAGCTGAAACGTTGCGTTTCTTTTCTTCTCTTTAAAGCATGGAATAAACTTGTTGCATGGAATTTACTTGTATCTTATTTCTCTGGGCTCCGCCTCTTTCCGAGAGAAACGGCAGAAGGTAAGAGGTGGGAATCGGGTCTGGAATCCTGTGTGACTGCAGGAATGGAAGAAAGCCATCCTTTTGCCACCGAAACACTGTCGCAGGAGACTGGCGGGAGTTCATTTGCGGAAGAGGAAGCGGGGCAAAACGCGCGGGAGCGTCCCGTGCCGACTTCGGCGCTCGAGCAGCCCGCAGCGCGCGCCCTCGGCCGACTAACGCCGTTAGGGGCGCGCGCGCCGCTCCATGTATTCCGTCTAAGTTAATTTATTTTGCGACAGGAACGGAGTTAAAAGTTACTGTTCCTAGTGTTTCGTCGATAATGTCGACGGGAGACGGATCTACCCCTTTTACTTTTTGATAAAACGCGAAATGAAGGTGAGTGACAGTTACGGCCCTGAGTCATCTACAGTCGTCAGGTGTTCCAACATCCTACCCGTTGAAAAAGCCTGCCCAGCGCTGTTAATTAAGCTTTTCTTCAAGCGTATTATACGAAACCGGCTTATTGTAGTTCAGTTCTTTGTTTTTGTTATCCAAATCGCCAAACGTTCATTGTAGTCTTAGGAAAGTAGCTACAAGCACGCATTTTAACGCATTCATATTTGATTATTAATGTTCACATACTGTATAGTGGCCACTTTATCTCTGCCTTTGCACGCAGATTTTACTTTTAGGATTTTTTTGCAGTAGATGGGCACCTTTTGAATGTGCCAAATATAACAGTCAACCTACAGTATGTATTGTAGTTCACCGCGGCCACCTCAGGTCGGCCCCCCACCACTGGCGACTCGAACCCAGGCCTCCGGTGTCACTCAAGAGGGACCCAGCCAGCTGAGCTAAAGGGAGATCTCCCGTCAGCGCCTGAGGCTCGCACCACCTGCAGTGTCGGCCGTATGCGTTATGATCTGTAAGAATGTGTGGCAAACGTATAAGCCTTGGTGTGATAATATACAATATACACAATAATATGTGCTCCAAAACATCAGTAGTGGAATTTTCTGATAACGTAGTTTTTGTGTATATTAGTAAGCTCAAGCAGCAAATAAATTGTAGGAATTGGTAGGAATTTTTGGTAAGGGATCAAGTCTATCGAAATTTTCTACTTACAGTTTTGAGTGCTTTATGGGTGAACTAGGTCAAGCAGAAAATTGTAATGTTAGGGATTTCTGGTAAGAGATCATAAGGCTTTCAAATTGTGCTACCTATAATTTTTGAGTTACTTATGGGTGAATTTTCAAAAGCAGCGTTTAAGTTTAAATGGTAGTTTCTTCTGATAATGTATCGTGACACTATCGAAATTTGCTACCTTTATATTTTTATATGTATATTGTTATATTGTATATTTTAAAATATATATTTAATATATATATATACTCACCAAGCAGCAGTTACATTTTAATCATAGGACTTTCTGATAGGAGGCATTAGGTTATCAAAATGTGCTGCCTACAAGGCAGAGAACAGAAAGCAGTTGAGGTAGCATTTTCTGATTAGGTAGCATTGATTTATAGAGGAACAAGTAAAGGTTTATTCCATGCTGATAAGAGAAGAGAGAAAACACGTTTCAGCTGTGAAGCCTCGGCGTTAGACGCTCCACAACAAGCCCCCTCCCTTCTCCAGAGGTCCAGGGGGCTGAAGTTCCCTGCAGCGAAACCTGAATGAGGGCAGCTCTGAGACCCAGCATTTTGTTGCAGGGGCAATTTAGGAATCCCACCGTTAGACAATCTGATTTTCTTATTGTCCCTCAGAGATTCCACTCATCAGATGGTCAGAACAGCTGATCCCCATCACCGATTCCCTTGTGGAATCCCTGCCAATAGGGATGATGTGCGAATTAACAGAGGAGAACTGCCAGATTTGCAATTTGGGTAATTTGAGCCATTTGAGTAAACAGTCAAGATGCAGGTATTTTAAGTGTAACAGTTTTTGAATTGGGCCTAGTGAAGATTCAGCAAGCGCTGTTCAGATGTGCCGTGATTTAGACATCAGTGGACGGGTCTGCCCTGTCTGAAGGAGTAAGTCTGGGGTCAGTTGGCCGCCCGGCCTCTGGCTGTGAGCCAGTTGAGCTGTGCAATCTCTCCGCGCCTCAGAACAAATCTCTCCACGGTGCTGTAATCGCGCACGCCTCTGCTGCTCTCTCCTGTTCTGCGTCTCTCTTCGGGTTTTCCTTCCAGCTGAGCTCTGATGGACTTAATCAGGTCAGCTGCTTAATGAGGAGCAGTTAACCTGCTTTCCAGATCTCTGCTAAATGAACTATTTCAAGCTCCCTGTGAATCCTG